CTAAATTAAATAAATAGAAGCATTAAAAAGGAGGGAAAAGGCGCTGATCTAGGCACCCAAGCGCCTCAGTGCAGCTGACACTGCTCTGTTAGTTCAGTTCAGCTGGGGATGAAGCCTCCAAATTGATAATACCCTGTAGATAAGGGGCTGCAGAGCAGCTCTGGGCGCCGCTGGACGTGCAAACCGCCCGGCCCCGGGAACACGACCAGAGCGGACCCCGGGGCGGCCGCTCCCCGCGCGGGGAACCGAGGGCCGCCCGGAGCGCGGGCCCCGGCCCCGCTCTCCCCCGCGCTACCTGCGAGGCGACGCCGAGGCGCTGGAAGACATGGTCGAGCAGCAGCTCCTGCAGCTCCAGCTGCACCGGCACGTTGCGGTCGAAGGGCGAGCGCAGGAGCCAGCGCAGCGGCTCGGGGCTGCCCAGGTCGTTGCCCACCTGCGTCTCGGCGCCGGCGCGGGCGCCGCGGCCGCGCGCCGCCAGCGAGCGGAACCGCAGCAGCGGCTCGGCGGGCACGGCGGGCTCGGCGCAGGCCCAGCCCGCCCGCGTCTGGAAGGAGCCGTTGTCGATGACGAGCGGCACGGGCTGCGGCGTCCGCACGGCCGGGCCCGGCTCGAGCAGCGGGTCCGGGGCCCAGCGCGCGTCGCGGAACGCGAACACCCGCCCGCCCGCCGGCGCCGCCATCTTGGCGCTGCGCGGCCGCGCCGGCCGGCARCGCGGCCCGACACGCGAGTTCCGCCCCTCCGCCCGGGCCGCCCTTTTATGTCATTTACGTCCCTCCCGCCACACGGGCTTGTTTGGGGCTGAAGTCGAGGAGTTTGGCTCAGCCGCAGCCATTCGATGCGGGCACGCTTTTTCCTGCCCAGGTTGGGCCGTGATGGCGGCGCCTCAGCCCGGGTGACCGCCCCGCAGGTCCCCGCAAGGCTCCGAGCTGCCGCCTTCCCTGGATCCATCTCCAAGGGTTTCCATAGGTTTCTCCTGCTTAGAAGCAGGAGCAACAGGTTAAGCATGAGTGAAACCTCTAGCGGGCTGTTTAGGCAATTATGTCATACAAATAAACAGTTCTGAATTTATCATCGGTATTTATCAGAAGAAATCAGTAGTGAGAAGCCCATAAACTGCTGTAACGACATCGGTTACTTCCAAGGTAGCTCTGCCCACATGTGGCTGATGGTGGTTTGAGCCTTGGGAGGCTCCGGTGCCATCTCAGGACTGCGCACGGAGGGACCTCTGCCCTCAAAGTCATCTTAAAATGAGGGGCATGAGAGATTTAGCTGTCATGTAATAATAACAACCCATCAGACCAGTGTTACTTTCCTTGTTCATGTGTTCAGCACTTAGAGGGTCAAATCAAGCTGCTCATGTTGCTAAATGAAGGGTAGGTACCGCAGTCACTCTGATCTGTGTGACATTAAACCCACTGCCATGTCTGCCTGTCCTGTAGCAGGCTACCCATGGAAAATCCACAGGTATAACGTGTATTTCCTCTAAGTTTCATTCACATTCAGCTTTCAGCTTTCATGTTTCTCTGCCAGAAGATGATGACACCTTCAGAGGGCCGCAAGTTGTGGTTGAAATGTCCTCTCTGTTTCCATTAACTTCTGCTGGATCCGTACCGCAGCACCTGCATGGAAGAGGTGGATGTGCAAGGGGGAAAACACTGCACTTTGAGGGCAACCTAACAACACAAAAAGGCCAACAAAGRGCAAACCCGCTCTTCCAAACCATAGCAGGCACCGGTCATCACAGTGCARAACACCCTGAGACACAGCAACACAGTGAAGACCACCTGAAATACACCCTGAAAGGTGCTAGCCCCTCATTTAAGTGATAGAGCATCACACTGGGCATGACAAGGTGCACAGGAGAAATCTGTTGCTCTGCCTGATCTCAGTTCTGTATCAAATGTCAGCAACTGTGCTAAAATACCTTCACCTTGTTCTATTCTCCTGCCTTTCTCATATAAAATTRTGCATCTAAAGCTTTTCAAGCCCTCAGCTTGAACTCTTTTACGGCAGAGTGTTCTTTATGTTTGGAGTCTTGATCTCCTTGTGACTAAGGGATTTTACTGTTAAAACAGTAGGTTTAGGTCAAAACTCCTGGCCTTTCTGTCATTCCTGTCATTATATTGGTAAACAAGCCACTAACAGCTTGGTTTTCAGAAGTGCCAGGTACAGCTTCCACTGTGGGAAATGGGGACTGCAAATATTTAGTGTCCCTAAAAGTCAGCTCCTTAATGGCTTTTTTCATTTGTTTACCCACCGCACAAAGTAGGTGTAATGGCTTTCTTTTATCACACGAGGGTATTGTTAGTGTAAATTAATAAGAATTTGCAAAATTCATTTAGATCTTGAGATTAAGTGGCTCATTTCAAGGGTCTGTTGCTACATAAAAGCAAACACAAGCGCCCAACAAGACCATTAAATGCAGGCAATCATTCCTAATGTGCACTCATACAGCCCCTCTCATCCAAGGTTTTCCAAGAGCTACACAAACAATTAATTTAGTCGAACAACCCTCGCTGTGATGTAAGTGGTACATAATGCTTTTATTTTATTGAGGGAGAAACACGCACAGAGGTTAACTGGCTTGGCCACTGTTGCAAAAACAGTCAATACCAAATAGCCAAAGTCACACATCTGTTCCTACCTTGATTACTACCAAACTCCCTTATTATAAATATAAGAAATGGATTTAGAAACTTATATCTTAGGAAAAATGTGCTTGCATGCCTTTCTTGGAGGAGAATGAAATATACGGAATTGACCCAGGAAAGCTTATTTTCCTAGTGGATTTGTTAACAGACTCAAGTTTCCAGAGAAGATTAAAAATAGAGTGTGTGTTAGCGTGAGGCATCCTTATGATCCATGTCAGGATCATAGGATCCAGGATCAAGGAGAGAGCCTTGCACAAGTAATTTTTAACTAGCTAGAAAGCCATTCCCTTTAAATATCTCTTCAGGGCTGATTCTGTTTTGTTGATTCCTCAAAAGTAATCTTGGCTACTGAGTTTCAGGCAGTGATAAAAGCACTGTTTGCTTATCAATCCTGTATCTAAAGATATAAAAGTACCTTTTAGTCCTGTTTCAACACAAGCCTTGAGGGCTTCCCAATTTATTTTCATTCTGTAATTACCTGCAGAAGGAGAGGATCAGATGTTTTCCCAGTTCTTCCTATCCTATACCTAATCCTTTTTATTCCCTCCCTGCGCAGCCCCGGGGCCGGCCCTTTCGCCAGCTACGCTGAGAATGTCACYAGGCTTCTTGTGACAACCCCAGTGATGCAATAAGAGTTATTAAAAGGTAGTTAGAACAGTGGAGCAAGGAAGCTGCTTTAAACCCCGTGTAACCTGAAACGAGCCATGAAGTATCCTCTGGTCCCCCTGGTGAATGAGTTGACCTTTCCTCTTCTTTTCTTCTGGCTTTGTTTGCCTTTTGCACTACTGTTGGTCTTAATGATTATCTGGCTGCAGCTTTTACTTAATGAAGGTAAGTTCTGCAGTGGATTGGACAAATGCTTTTGCATAAAGGCTTTATGTATTAGCATTCTGCTATTTTTAGCCTGATGCCGCTTGTTGTAGATAGAAACTAAAGGGCTTTTTTCTTTATTGATACTGTTGGTAGCATATGGAAAATCCAACTCAAATTATTCTATCTTTCTGTTAAAATATTTATAAGATCGACTTTCTAGCTSTTCTTTCTTGTCCTCTGCCTTTTTCTCTGAGGAAATTTCAGGTATGAAAGGCAAAGGACAAATAATTTTTGTAACGTCCCCCTCCYCGACTCCCCCACACAGCAAACGTGGCTCTCTGACTCTGGAAAATTTCAAACTCTGGCATTAGAGGTCCCCTGTATTTCTTCTTTTTGAGGGCCACTTGTGAAAGGGGTAAGGGATTCTTGTATAAATACATTTATAGAAAATAAGTAATAAATAAATGTATAGAATAGAAAAATTCTCAGGGGGAGCAGGATGTCAGGACGTGTGTTTTCCTTTATTTGTAATGTCCGTCTCTGATCCCCCACTGGTAGTTGTTTCTGACATGTCAGTAACCAGTAACAGGCTTTGGTTTAGGCTAATAATAGGCTTGTTGATGCCCTCGTAGGGATAAAGCTTTGCTGGTTTGCTCTGATCCTGGAGCACGAGCAGCCACAGCTGAGGAATCAATGGCAAGTTCAAAAGCAGCGTTTCTGCCTTTGCAGAGCGGCTGCAGGAAATAAGAACAGAATTCAACACCAAGAAACTTTTAGAGCTGTTTGGCACGGTCTGTTTTTACTTAATGTTGTGGTATCTATATGCCATAGAAGTAGCACCAGGACGTGATTCCTTTGGACTACCAGCCAGCAGTGCCACGTAAGGTACCCGCCGTGCTGGAGACTTGCACTCCTGCTCCTTTCTGTCCCCCGTGCGTCATGTGCACCTCACATTTTCCCCTGCAGCTTTTCCAGCTTTAACAAGCAGCTAATGCTCAAAACAGCCTCCGCTGGCTGCAGGATTCCATGTCCTGCATGCTCAAGTGCACTCCTGGGGAAAACTGGTCCTAGGAATTAAAAAGTGTAGGTTGGGATGATGATATAAACTATGCTGCACAGCATGGGAATGGCTTCCTTGTAGGGCACTYTAGCCCAGAGAAGGCTGAGAGATCAGMTCAATGTGTGTAAGTACCTGAGGGGAGAATGTAGGGAGGAAGGAGCCAAACTCTTCTCAGTGGTRGCCAGTGACAGGACAAGGGGCAACRGCTATAAGTTGAAACACAGGCAGTTCCATCTCCATGTGAGGAGGAACTTCTTCACTGTGAGGGTGCCAGAGCCCTGGCACAGGCTGCCCAGGGAGGCTGTGGAGTCTCCTTCTCTGGAGGTCTCCAAACCTTCTTGAATGCCACCCTGTGCCCCGTGCTCTGGGTGTCCCTGCTGGAGCAAGGGGCTAGACTAGATGATCTCTAGAGGTTCCTTCCAGCTCGACCATTCTGTGTGTTATATACGTTTGCTACAGGTGCAGGATAGATCTGCTGTGCATTAACATGCTGGCTGTCACCTTTTGCCCWGCAAGAGTAACTCTAGCATATCTTGATACCTTGAAAGAGACRAATGAGATTTTGGGGTTGTAGAAGCTGTGTGTACCCTCACAAYTCCTGGCCCTAGAATGACTGCTATTACTCCTAGGCCTCCAAGGATTTATATAAACGGTCTAAATTCTGTTTTAACCATTGGGGCTAGGGCACACTCACAAATTTTCATGGAGAAGTGTTTTTGTAGGACTAAGGCATGAGAATGTTTCTCAGGCAGCCTCCAGAGTGAAATAAAAATGTTCCTTTTTCAACTTCTTCCTGACTACTTCATTCATATCTGCCTACTTTTTGCTATCTTATACTAGGCATAAGTAGAAAAAAAAGAATTTATCTCAATTCTTCCTTTATAAAATGATTGGTTAAGCTGTAATTGGCCCCAATCAAACATTTTTACAGACCTTTTATTCTCAATGTCTAGTTGGGCTTGGAAAATCCTTTAGTCTGGGTGAAAAATATTTAGAAGAACTTTGTCCAGCTCCTAGACCCGGGYTGAACATTCAAGGCTTGCAGCTAGACTGAGAAAGCAGCACCTAGTTTATGGCATGAAMAAGTTTGAAATAAAAATCTCTGAAACAAGGTAGATGACATAGATGTGTGTGTTTCTCTAACTCATCTTTCCTATCAGAGCAATTCTTTAAATGCAGTTTCTTTATACTAATCTTATGGCTTTCAATTTCCACTTCAGTCACGTACAGATGTCATACACATTCTTTTAAAAATTATTTCCAGCACAACCACCCCAAGCAAAAGAAACCAAGAAACAGTCTTCTGATGAGCCTGATTCAGATACTAAATTTGAGGCTGAACCAACAGAGGAAGAAAACTGGACTGAGACATCCAGTCCAGCAGTTCAAGAAGAGGTGCAAGCCAGTGGGACTGGGGGAAGACTGAAGCCCAAACCTGCTTATTTGAGTTCCAAGCCCAAAAGTCAAAAGCGAAGCCTTTTGGCTGCAATCTTGGACAGTTGGTCTCAAAGCCAGAAGAGAAAATCCTCCTGCTTGGAGAAAAGTGTCCTCTGTAACACGGTGATGGTGAGTGGTGGGACCAGCCTCTCTGAGTATCTGCTGCTTTTGGGCCTCGCCTTGGTCCAGCTCCCCTGCTCCGGATGAGGTCTCGGGATAAGGGAAATCTGCCAGATTGGTTTCTGCTTTGTTAATAATTTAACAGGGTTTATTGATGTCTTCGTTCTTGGAATGACTCCTATTGTAGGCAAATTAAAGGTATTACTTAAATAGTCATAGTTATTACTTAAATAGCTGTCATATACATATATACATATCAATAGGTACTTGTATATATGTTAAACAGGTTTGCATATCTGTTTTAAAATCCTTGAGAACTGCATTTGAAACAATGCCAAACACTACCAACTTCTCTAAAATTAGAGACTTGACTCAATTGTGCACAAAACCCCTCCTTTGATACATATGGTTTGATTATATTGCTAGTTTATATTTTTTWAAAAGCTGTTTCAGGTTTCTTATGATAGAGTGTGAAGTAATAATTAGACCTAATTCTTCACTTGCTTGTTAAGACCTTAAGCTACAAGTCCCTGCAAACGTTCCAGGCCCAATCCTCTTAGGCTTCACACAAATCCCCAAAGATATATTTGAAGCRGTGGAAGAGATTAGGACCTCCTGTATCTTCTCCTCCCCAATGCCTTCAAGGTATATAATATATTATGTATATATTCACTGCAATAAGCAAGCAGAAGGGATGGGTGGCTCTGCTCCTTCGCTGTCCTGCCTGCTCATTTACACCACTCACCTTCTTGACCTGCAGCAGCTGAAGCTTTCACCCCCCTTGCCTTCCCCTGGCTTTAACTACAGGCTGATAACCTTCAGTAAGCTGGAATAGTTCAGGATTGGTCTCATAAATCACTGCTGTTGTTTGACTAACACACCCTGAAACTGGGCGGTACCACAAAACCAGTACTATCGGGGGCCTGGGTATTTTTGACGTCACTAACAGCCCCACGTCAGCGCAGCCCAACTTTCATTCATGCACTACAGAAACCAGGCTGAGAAAAGCTTAGGCCTTSGCTAGGGGCTACCACATGGCTCCTATGGAGTTCTAAAATCTAAGTGTTGTCTTGAACAAGGCAACCTGAAGCACCAGAACCACTTAATTTCGAAAGGATTGTTGCTGGGTGAAGGAACTAGAAACTTGTGGTCTCCCCTAATTTATATCCTACTGAAAACTTAACTTATTTTGAAAGCATCCTTGTCCTGACAGTTCTCTTCCCGGTTCCTTCGCCAGGTGTTGTGCTCCATGCTTTCTTCACTCGTCTGGAATCTTGCCTGCCAGTTGCTCCAGATCTCTAACATCCTGAGGATTCAGCTGCTGCCAACCTCCCTGATCATCTACGTGGCTCAACTTTTCCTTGTTCTTGCCGATAAAGTTGTGAAAATCCTGGGCTCCTTGAAGCTGGAAACTAGAGGGCTCCCAGCTTCAACCTAGAGGAGACAGAAGAAAACTGGACCAGAGAGACAAAGCTCAACCAGAAAAACTACATCAGGGTGGAAATAAAGCCAATAGTTCCACGACCATTAGCACTTACCCCAGTGAGTGACAGTTATTTCAGCACGATAGAGTCGAAGAATCGTTCGAAGAGGAAAGGTAGTCGAGACGAAGCTGCCACGCTGTGGTCACAGCAGCCACTTTTCCTGTGAACATCACAGAATAGCTACGTATTCAATGTACCTCATGCGGGAACTCATCCGGTTCCTGGCTGCCCTTCCAAGAAAGGGCTGATTTGCCCTCAAAATGACCAAGCACAGCCCCCCATGCTGCTTGTGGTGCTCCCTTTCTGAGCACCGTCACCAATCTCTGGTTTCTAGCAAATCAGATCAAGACACTTTTTCCTGTAATGTTTTTTTACTGGAGGTTAAAAATCAAGCACAGCCCAGTGGTAATTTTACTCATGTTGCAATTAGCACTTTTCTGGTCTCCAATTTGTGAGCTCTCAAAGTAGGAAAGAGGGTCGGTTTTGTGTTGTTTCCTCTCAACGCTCAGGTTTAACCAATGAAACAATTGTACCTCCACTTAACGAGAATAATTAAGCTCTGAGCAGATACCGAGAATGCAATTTCTGTGCAGACGGCACCTTGTCAGCATCTGACGTGCTGATAAAAGGTCAGCTCGTACCCCACCAGGGCAGTCAGCAACAACTCAGTTCAGCCCATGGATGGGAGCAGGAGAAAGCCCGGGGGGATTGGGATAAACCCAATAAAATTATCCAGCAATGGGGCTATAAACAGAGCATCCATTTGCTCCTCAGACCAAAGCAGCTGACAAACTCTTAAAAAAGGAGCTAAGAGGAGCAAGGCACAAACGTCTCACAGGGCAAGGCTGTGCAAGCTGGACTAACCCGAGGTAATTACAAAGCGTGTCTCGTTTGTGTTTGCCTTCGCACCCGCTGAGGTGCACGCATCCAAATATTTGTCTGTAATAATATGCTTTGAAATAAAATGTGGTTACYTTTACTTTATAAAATCCCTTTATTTAGGGGAAAATAAAGTATTTGCTCGATGGGGAAATCACCGCCTTGGCGCATCCCACCTGGGCAGGGGTGCTCCCCCGGGGGACCCCGTTTCGCAGCCGCTCCCCCCGGGGACCCCTCGCCCCCAGGGGCCCCCGGGTGCCCCCAGGGCCGGGGCAGCCCCGGCGGTGCCTCCCGGGCCGCTGTTTTTACCGCGGGAGGCGGCGCCGGGGCGGGCAGCGCTGGAGGCGGCGCCCGCTCGGTGCCTCCTCCCGCTCCCGGCTCCTCCGCTCCGGCGGAGCCGCCGCGGGCTCCCGGCGCAGGTAGGCGGCTGTGGCGGGGGGTCTCCGGCCGTCCTCTCTCCTATCTCTCCTTCCTTCCCTCCTTCCTTGCCCTCTTCCCCCCTCTTTCCATCCACCCGGTGTGGGAACCAGGGGGAGCGGGGGCGCRGGGAACCAGGGGCTGCTGCCCGTGCCGCGGTGTAATCTCTGCAGACACTTCCCCTCTTTCTTTTTTTCTCTCCCCTTTTTCCTTTTGTTCTTTCTTTTTTTCTTTTGTTCTTCCTACTTTTCCTCTTGTTCTTCCCTCTTTTCCCTTTTTCTTTTGTTCTTCTTTCTTTTCTCTTTTTCTTTTTTTTTAAAATTTCTTTTTATGGGCTCTTTCCCGCTGACCTTATATCACATCACTTGGGCTCGTGCCCGATGCTGCTAGGGGAGCTCCAGCCATGATGCCCAGACACGGAGTCTTGGATGCCCGATGTGCTGTAGCACTCGGGGCTAAATTCCCGCTTTTCCRCAGACCTTGGCTCCTGTTGGGCAGCAGAGCTGTTGCCGCACACCCCGTTGGCCTCACACCACCATCCTTGTGGGCCAGCAAGAAGAWGCTCCTTAGTGTTCTTGGCACTTTCCATCTTTTCCATATAACCTATGTGCTCTTAAAAGCCTGTCCGCAAGGATTTGCTCTTGCAGAGGTGTCGGGGGCAGCTCCTGACCCTGTAGGGTCTCGCATGCAGCTGCCTGGTTGGGCTCATTGCTAATCTTAGCTTGCTAAGAAGCCGGAGTGGCTTTGGCAGTTGCCATAATTCACGTGGAACATCCTTGTGCTGGTCTTGCTGATGGAGAAGTAAACAAAGTGAAGGACGGGTAAACTGCCTAAAGGTTCGTGAGGGTATAATCACTTTGTGTACTGAAAGGTGCTGTTTTAAAGCCTGGTGATGCCCAAGGATATGTTTAGGACAATTTTTAGCTTGTGTAAATAGGCTGGGAATAGTTTTTGCTTGCCCGGGCTGCCCGTTGCTCGTGGTGTCCCTGGAATAGCAGGGAGCAAAGTGGGCAAACCTGCTTGAGAAGCCTGCTTGGAGGTCGGAGTTCCCCAGGACCGCAGCTCTGCGGAGCGTCGCTCGCTTCCCTGTCCCCAGGCTATGGGAAACGCATCCTGGATAAATACTTGAGGAAAAGGGGGGTTATGTGCAGGTCCTCCATGGGAAACAGAAGCACAGCTGGGTTTGATCCCTGCAGAACTCCAAAGGGCACCACAGCTTTGCCTCTGCTTTTTAGGGAAATGAACAATCACTGCTCTCTTACCCTCTATCCACACCATATATTAAGTTAAAAACTCTCCTCAAATGCAGCTCTCGGTCGTCTCGGATGCCTCGCTTTGCTGCACGCCTGGAATCCGCAGCACGAACGTGGCCTTGCAGCTTCCTTGTAGTCCGCAAATACCYGATACCATCGGTGACCTTCAGCTTCCCTTGGCTCTTGTGTTCCCTTTGCTATTGCAAAAGGTGTTTTCTGAGCATCAGCAGGGGGTTAGGGCTTGCAGGTTGTTGTACAGCTTCTTCTTGCAATAGCTTGTTTGCTGGGATAGAAGCTGTGTTTAAAATAAAAAATCTTTTTTTTCCTATAGTTTTGGATTTAATTCACTGGTGAGGTGGTGTTTGCTGGGCAAGGCAATTGCTTCCCGTACTCACTTCTTGCAGCTCCAAGGACCATCTATGCTGTAGCAAGTAAGTTGTTTCCTTAACTAAAAATGTTTGATACCAAAACTTGGCTTGAGGAGCCTGGAGCGCAGCCTTAGTAATATTTATTTTTTCCTGCCTGAGGATTTCTTCCTTCAGCTGTACTTCAGTATTTTCCTTTGCCTGAGATTAAGCTGCCTGTGTTCCTCTRTACTCGCTGTGCCACAGATGTTCAATGACCTTTTGCCCATCACTTGATCTTCCCCACATCCCCCTTGCCTGCAATATGCAGGTTTTTGGGGTATGTTACAGGGGTGATGAGAGCTTGTGTCATTAAGGTTCTGCTGGGAAGAAGTGTGGACTTCAAACCTGAGACTTGTTCTGTTCTTTCCCCCTCCTCTGAGCTCAAAATTCTCTAAGAAACTGATAAAAAGTCTAAGCTCCACTTCAGCATAAACTCGAGTAACCTCCTGTGTTTTGATGGAATGAGGTGTTAAACGTGCCCAAAGGGTGACGTGTCGGGCAGCCTGAGGAAAAGTCACTGCAGTGATATTTGCGATATTTGAATTGTCCGCAGGGCCTCCCTGGGTCACAGCTGCTGCGGGGCCGTTTGCTGGGGCTTTCTGCATCCTCCTCCCCGAGGAGGGGGATGATTTAACGGCTCCAACATGTGTTTTTAGTCAAGGGGAACGGMGGTTTGTGCGTTCAGCGGGATGCAGAAAAATACTGTGCGAGACTTGGCTCGTGGCGCCTCGTGCCCCAAGAGGGCGCAGCACCAGCAGCTCTCCGGTTGAGCAAGAAATGTTGGTTTATTTATTTATTTGATGCTGTACGAAGGAAAAAAWTCGTAAATGTTATTGGCCAGCTCATAGAATCACTGCTTCCAAACTTGAAGGCTAGGAAGCATAACCAAGTGCACAGTATATTTTAGCTCTCTATGATTTTTGGGGCACACAATTCAGGAGAAGACGACAAAAAAAGAAACTCTCTTGCTAATGGGGGGTGCTATGGCCCATGTGCTTCTGCTCTCAGCAGTTTAAGTGCTTTCAGTTGGAGTCATAAAAATGTCTTAGCTGTAATATGCATGAGCCCTCCTGCTGCAAATGTGAAATCCCTCTGGTCTGGTTTCTTAATTGAGACCTGCTGGAGTTATTTTTTTGTTCTGCAATGTGATATRTGAGATGGTCTTTATGCAGCTGACTTGAAAGGCTGCCCTTAATTAGATATTTCTAATCTTATCAATAGTATCCATTTCTGTTACGTTGATGTTTCTTTCTAAGAAACATGTTTTTGAGCTCATAAGGTACATGACTTATTAAGTACTAAATTACCCTCAAGTTAATTGCTGTCAGACAGGAGTGTACATTCTGTTTGGCAATAAGATATTTAATGAAAGCAAGAAAATGATTACTGAGGAAAACCATTGAAATATCAAGCATCACCTGTATGATTTATTCCTTATCTTATACCATAGACTTTTGATAGAAGTCATTCAGAGCATTTTTAATTATGGGGATAAGTTCTTCCAGGTGTTTTGYTTAGTGAAAAGCTTGTCTGAAACTAGACCTGTTGCTTGGTAAGTTACATCTGTAAGGAGATTCTGGATTCAGTTGTTTATAGCAATTTCTGGTACTTGTTGCTGTTTGGCAAGATGATCCTTTCCCATTAGGTCAGCTTGCTAGGGGAGTGTGTTCTGTGATTGCAAAGAACTTTGGAGAAAGAAGCCCGAAAGCTGATGTAGCTGAAAACATATTCCCCAAAGTCAATTACTCCAGGAGTCTGGAATGTGTTGGCGGTGGGAGGCTTCGGTTCCAGTGAAATGTTGCTCCATGTGTGCAGGGCTTCTTTCCCCTCCTAAGTAATTATTTCCATCTGCACAGTGTGCTGCAGCCCCTAAGCTGCTTGGCCTGGGACTGTTGAGCAGTGCACAACATTTGGTGCTCTCTTTTGGAGGTTTCTTCATTAAATCCTGGGGAAGGGGACTTCGTTATCATGCAGAAAAACAAAGGGGCAACCACTTGGTACAAATATCCAGGCCTTTGAAGATACGCAGTGCTCCAATCTCTATCATTCATGTTCTTTCGAAGATTTAGAGGCATAAATTTGGGGGAACCTTCAATTTTCCTGTATAATGGCCAGTAATGGTCTTGTGGCTTTCGTCCTGTGATGTCCGTGTGAACACACACACTCCCAGCATTTGGTGGAGCCTGAACCTAAGAAATGACACTGAGTCCATCACACGGTTGAGTCCATCACACGGTTGAGTCCATCACACGGTTGAGTCCATCACACGGTTGAGTCCATCACACGGTTGAGTCCTCAGCATTGTGGTAAACAACTTGACTGAGCTCTGAGCATGTTTTTAGTGTATGAATTACTGTTTGTTGATTTTGCTCATCACATAATCCTGTTGTACTATTCTTTTGTAATGGCACAAGCCCGATGGACTCTTCAATGTAAGCTTGTGTGAGAGGCTTTACCTTGTCTTGAGAAAGAACCTGGTTTTTGAACTAGTTTAGGCCAGTGTCRCATGTGCCCTGAGTGGGAAGTGTCTGATTTATGGATGTCTTGGTCAGGCTGTCTAGTAGATTCATGGTTGCTCGTGAAGGTGGTGTCTGCAATGTGTGTGCTTCACTTGGATGAGTGCAAGGCTGCAAGCTTGATGGAGAGCAATGCTGACTTGGTGCCTCCATTGGGCCCCAAGAAGGGGGTTCGGGGAAATATGAGTTGGATTTTTCCAATGCCTGTTAATTTATTGTCCCTTGACTTAAGGTAGAGGAAAATCCCCATGCCTGGGCCTTTCCCAACAGTGGGTAGTTGGTTCCCTTACATGACTACGCTGTGTAGGATAATCTTCTACCACACAAACTAGTAAACCATCTTGCAATGTGGAGGAAGAGACTAAGTATGATAAGTGATTAAAACACCCTGCTTGCT